TAACTATCCAGTCAGAAACGGACCTCGCCCTCCAACTGTGTAGCGCTAGCGATTTTCTGGTGTTTCTCCGCTCGCTCCGAATTCCAGAAAGGATTGAAGATTAAATACGACCTTTTAGTTTCGTATAGAAACCCCAAAATCCGAGATCATAGCCGTCAGTACTTTTAGGGTGGATGGCCTGTGACTGACATTCGTTCGTTCCTTACATAGGCCATCTATCATCCATCCAGCCATACGATCCCGCGCCGTCGAACAGACCACGGGTCCAACTATACCCGTGATAGCACTTAAATCGGCCATCCCTCCACATCCAACGACTCTACCACCACGTAGTCGACGCACGCACCATGCCCGCGACGCGCAACACCCGCCAGCGCGATACCCGCGCTCACAACCCCCTCGCCCTCCCCTCCTTCTCCTCCCTCCCCACACTCAAATCCTTCCCCTCCTTCTTCTCCCTCCGCTCCTCCTCCACCTCGACCGCGGCCTCGGACACCTCCACCCTCGTCGCACGCACCGACACCGGCCTCACCGCCTCCTCCAGCGCAACCCTCACCTCCCCCGCCCCCTCCCGCTCCGCCACCCTCGCCTCCCTCTTCCCCGCCTCCCCGCCCAACCCCTTCGACCTCCCCGAAAAGGACGAAAAGCTCGACCCCGCGGCGCTCGCGGCCCTCACCGCGCTCTCGCCCTACGCCTCCGACCGCCCCACGGAGTACTACACCCCCGCCGACGCGCCTACCGGGTACTCCACCGACACCTCCCCGGTCTACCTGCGCCGCCCCGCGCGCGCGCGGCGCGCCGACGACCTCGTGCAGAAGGGGCTCGATTCAAGCCGCTTGCTGCAGAGCATCAGCAGCAGCATGGACGTAGAGAGTCTGCAGATCGTCGCGAGCAGCTGTTTGCTGCTCTTTGATACCGTGCAGGTGCGTCTGGCGTTTTCCTTTTTGTCATCCGTCACCGTCATCGTATACACCCTCCGTGATTCGCTGACCCGAGTACCCAGACCGTGCGCACGAACCGCACGCAATGCCGCCAGCTCCTCGAGCGCGTGCACCAGATCGTGCGCGCCCTTATCAACCTCTGCGAGGAGTCCCAGGCGCGCGGACGGCCCATCGGGGACGATCCCGCGTCTGCTTCGTCGCCGTATACCGTCGGTGGGCTCTCCGTCTTCGTCCTCCTCTTTGTCGTATTCCTTTGAATGAACTGACGACGGCGCAGGCGGTGTATCGTTCAACGGCGCGCGAGCCGGGGGCGGGGGCGGGGTGGCGCCGCATATGGCGCGCGCGATCGATGCGTTTGCGGAGTGAGTGGTTTTTTTCTTCTCTCTCTCTTTCTGCCACTGGATGCCTAGGTGGGGGGAGGCATGGCTTTCGCGTTGACTCCCGCCGTCGTGTATGTCGGCCGGCGTTGCGGGAGGCGAGGACCAGGCAAGGTCGATGCCCGTCCTGTAGATTTACGCGAGGCAGTCGGGGGATGCAGAGGCGTAGGCGGCGTCCACACTCGCAGTCTGGGCGTAAATGCGGTTGCGTCCGTACGAGCTTCGACGGACCTTGTGGCATTGGGGCGGGAGGAGCGAGCGAGGTCGGCAAGGCCGATGTTCTCGCAAAGGCAGCAGGCACAGGTGGCGTATCGCCGACACACTACTTCGGGTCCCCGCTCGCAGTCGTGGGTGTGGATGTGGATGGGGTCGGTGGGTGCGGATGACACTTGCGCGTGCGCGTGCGCGGACGGTGCACTGCTGCGTATATTCTGCCGTTCGATCCGCGGGCGATAGCGGTGTGGGATACCCAAGCTGTCGGGGGCGCTTTTTACGCCGGCTGTCTGCACGACCACGGACGCACGTCGACGCGCCGCTTGGAGGCGACGTGGATCCGGATGGACGCTGCGGTGTACTTCTTCCTTGTCATATTCGCGCGAGGGCCCTCGATGTAGGTCGTGCACTGCCGCTGCTTATGTGGGCGGCGCGGACGACGCGCTGGACGGTGCCCTGTCTTTCGTCCATCCTTGTCTCTCTCCAGCCTCGTCTTCCTCCCCCTGCCTTCCTTCTCCCTCTGTCTTGTCTGCTCTTACCCGACGCTCGCTAACCCCACCCGCAGAACCCTCCACACCCTGCACCCGCTCCTCCAGTCCCTCACGCATGTCGGGCTCTTCGCGCGCATCCTCCGCAGCGCCGAGATCCGCGACCAGCTGAATCAGGTTGGGGAGGCGCTGACGCAGGCGCAGGATTTGTTTTCGGTACGTTGCTCTCCCTTACCTTCCGCGTGCACCTGCGCGTCTCTCCCCCGTATCTCGCACCTCACCCCTTCCCACTCCCATCATTATTTCACCCTCTCCCTCTTCTCGCTCGCTTATCCTCCTTCGTACTCACTACGCACGCAGGTAAAAACCGGCCTGCTCACACACGCCGCGCTCGGTGGCGCCAGACGCGCCGGGGCGGAGCGGCATGCGGAGCTGTTGAGGGCGTTGGGGCGGGGGAGGGATGTGGAGACGGCGCCGGGTGCGGGCGCTGCGTAGGAGGAGGAATCGGGGGGCGGGTGCGGAACGAGGTGGGAGAGATCAGGGGAAGGGGAAGGCGATGCGCGCTGCGGGTGCGGGAGGGGAGTCGCGACAAGGGCAGGATAGACCCGGACAAAATCGCTGTCGTCCACGCGTTGGGTAGCTTCCGCGCCTGCCCCATGCGCTGCTCCCTCATCGACGGGCACACGATAGCCGCCTCTCCCGAAATTTCGACGGCCGCAACGGCTTTCACCCACGTTCCATTTCGCGACACCAGCATCTCCTCCGTCCACACCTGCTCTCCTGGCGCACCCTGCCCGCCTGCGCACACCCTTCCGCACCCTTCCTCTATCGATCGGCCTCTACGTCGCTCCTTCCCCTTCGTCGCGCCAGACGCATCGGGATATACACCAGCGGGATCGCAGCAGTATTGGGGCGATGGGCGAGATTGGTGACAAGAGTCCGCGAGGTCGAGATGAGGGTGATGGGCGCTAGATCCAGAGTGCATCTTCAAGAACGAGGCGCACGCCGAGCGCAAGCTGCGCTCCGCTCCGTCCGTCGGCCCCGCCGCCCCTCCGCCACACCAAAGAGATAGACCCCACGACTAACCAGCGCGTCGGCGATAGGCCGTCTGTGCTCACTGCCGGCCGCATATGATATGCAGGAGCATCGACCTCGATCGTCGTCCTCCTTCCCTCCCTGCTCCTCCCACAACGCCGTCCGGCGAAGCTCGTGCAGCCACGACAGCGCCAGGACGCGGTTCCTGCGCATCCACGTCCACACTGCGAATGTGTACGCGGCATATGCTTGCGGCGTTCGCGCGAATATGCGGGGACATCGGAATCGACGTCGCCTCATTTTTTGACTCCCGGCTCCACACCCTCTGACATTCTATATCCGACCACATATGTGCGTCTGAATGGAAGACACATCGTCTTCTTCTCCGTCGGTCGTTTTCGTCTCTACGTCCTCGTCTGAATACATACCGGTCTCGAGGTCGAAACGCTCGATGGGGTGGGCAGGGGACGTTACTAGGGAGGGGCTGAGAGATACCGGCGGGATACTCGATGGGTGTGGAGGGGATATGCTAACGTGAGGAACACTCTGGGGAAATGGAACTCTTTCGCAAGACGATGCTCCTTATATCTGCGGGGGCTTCAGCGTGATCATACGCCGCTGAGCGCGAACACGCTTCGCCGTCGTCTAACCTATCTGCGCCTACTAGACTTGCCAGCGAGCCGCAAGACGATTGCCTCGCTGAGGCTTCCCGCAAGCTGTGCATCCACCGCTGGAGCCTGGACGCGATCCCTAGGACGACGCTCACGTCTTGGCCGGCTTTATCTTCGTTTCGAAGCCGGCGCGACCCCTTTAGCAGTCCATCGCTGCGTTTACCGCAATCGCCATGCCATTCATACCCGCATTCCATTTGACCGTTTCTGGGCCCTCCGCGGCGATGTGGCCTGCTCGGGCGGGCCTTGACTCGCCGCCCTGCGTCGACAAAGACTTTCGAAAACACTTGATGTAGACTGTTTATCTATGCGTGCCGTCCAAAACAGTAATGTACTTGTTTACTTTTTGCCACTCCCGACGTCTCATCGACTGCGGCAAGGGCTTCGTAGTCGAGTTTCAGGGAAAACGAAAGAGGTGGTTGTGCTTGGCTGGGGTCTGCCGCGCACGCCGAGCGATGGTGGTGATTGGACACAAGGCCAAAGTTCGATGTTGAATTTTCTTTTCTTAATATTTGCTTAATACCGTCAACGATTGTGCGCGCCAGGCAATCGGATTGGGAGTATACTGTGTACTGGCCATTTCGCATGCGTGCCGGGGTGATGTCTCCTTTCCGTTCACATCGAACTTTCAACACGTTCACTACAGTTTCGTTCGTATTCGAATCTTTTAAGCATAAGGCCCGGTCGCAGATGGTCTGCACCTGCCCCGAACAGCTGGGCCAAATTCCGTTCTGCAGGAACACTCGTTCGATTCGAGCCCGGGCCATCCTTAGTTCATCTCGACGCTTTATTTATTTGACTGGTCGCTCACCCAGGTATGACAGTCAGCAGTGAAACAATCCTATGCTCTTTCCCTGAGAGATTATACATAATGTAGTGCTTTTTTCATCAGGTCTTCCATGTTGAAGATCCGCTGCATCTTCCTCGAATGCCACGTCCCCAGAAAACATGTTTGGTATTCAGCACTGAGCATGGAATACTTGTCCAACTCACTTCGAGGTCCAATATACTAGCTGCAGTATTTGTGCAGTATAGTGTCCTACTTTTGTTTTTGAAGGCAACCAATGCAGTCCTTACCTGCGCGGCTCCTCGAGGAAAACAGGAAGACCCGGTCGGGAATGCTCGCACCTGTAACAAAACAACTGTCATGATTTCTGCAGAGACGCTTGTTCGAGCCAAGCCTGGGTCATGGTTCCACGACAATGTTCTTTTTTCTTCCAAATCTACGTTTTAGTGCTCGCGTACATAGTATGGAAGTTACGAGGTAAAGAGGAAGGCCCGGTTGCGGATGGTCTGCACCTGCCCCGAATAGTAGCTGATACAAATGCCATTCTGCAGGAATGCTCGTTCGATTCGAGCCCGGGCCATCCTTAGTTCATCTCGACGCTTTATTTATTTGACTGGTTGTTCACCGACAGCAGTGAACCGATCCTGGCTACGCTTGTTCCCTGCAAGATGTAGTGGTTTCTTTTCTTCTTTTGCTTTGTAATGTGAGGTTGTAGCTCAGGCTCGTCGGGTTTTTCATGTTGAAGGCCCGGCGGATGGTTCGCACCTTCATCGAATGCCACGTCCCCAGAAAACGTGGTTGGTACTCAACATGGGATGCTTGTTCAATTCTGTAATTCAAGGTCCGGACGCGATATACTAGCTGCAGTATAGGGTCCTACTCATGTCTTTGAATGCAACCCTCATCTGCTCAAAGAAAAAAGGAAGACCCGGTCGGGAATGCTCCTGGGCCATTATTCCACGGCAATGTTCTTTTTTCTCCCAAATCTGCGTTTCAATGCTCGCGTATTGAAGTTATGAGGTAAAAGAGGAAGGCCCGGTTGCGGATGGTCCGCACCTGCTTCATGTTTCCGGTATTGTGATTCAGATCCATGCAGGAAGAGCTCGTTCGATTCGAGGCTAGGCCATAGCGGCGTACGAATCTTTTTTATTGTCTCACGTCGAAGGAATGGAGATTCAATCGAGTAGGAGGAGTTCTGTCAGTCCAGAATAGGTTTGCCCACTCTGTACCGAAGATTGAAAAAGAGATATCATTTCGATGTGAAGTCGCAGATCGGTCTCCCAGGGCTGCCAGTTGTACGTTCACTTACTGAAAATCGCCACCGAAGAAGGGAGGCCTCGTTGCGGGCGGTCCGCACCTGTACCGGATTTATCGGTCGCAGCCCTCTATTCTGCAGGAACACTCGTTCGAGTCGAGCCCAGGCCATGTATCGTGGTTTCTGATCATTTTACTCCCAAGTCCGAGGAACAGTGCTTCAACCAAGTGATTCTGCTGGCCAAGTATCAGTCCACCAACCTCTGCCGAATTGCCCAAGAGATCTAGAAAGAGAAGTTCATCCCTTCGAAATTTGAATCATATGAGGGCTTTGACATACTCACCTATTTGCCTTCGCCGCCAAGGGAGGAAGACCCGGTCGCAGATGGTCTGCGCCTGCCAGTGCTTCACGTATAAGCGATATATATGGGGAAATACCTTGCATGCAGGAAATGCTCGTTCGATTCGAGCCTGGGTCATAGAAGAGCTCAGCGTATAGTTTTTTTTTCTTCCTGTTTTCCTAGGAGTGGCGTAGGCGATATCACGAGGGCCTAACTTCTCAGCCCTAGAAATTGTGAATGTTTAGCACTCCTTGAGTTTATTAGAAGCGTGGTTGTGGGTTGATCGCACCTGCCAGACTACCGCGTGTCGACATTGCATTCAAGAGGTCATTGGAGAAACGTGTTGCTGGTTTATTGTGAAGGCACGTTGTACAATCGTTGCCTACCGGACTCGACAAGGAGAGTGCGGCCCGCACGCGGAGATCTAGAATAAACGGCCAAATCGCGCGGGATTAGCTTGTTGACGCCCAGCCTGGGACAGGTTCGGGACCGGCCTGTGGTTGGTTTTGGGCAAGGAATCGATACCAGGTGTAGTCTGGAGCGGTGGCTCGGCGGGCGATGGGGGAAAAATACAGCAACAGGAGCCGGAAAGGAGGACGAAGGGAACAAGGATGGGGGAAAGAAGAAATGGCGAGAGGTGAGCACCGTCCTTCGTGGTTTTCTTAGGTGACACCGGACAATTCTAGGAGGATGGCGATGAACGGTCGGATGGGGACGCAGCCTGCAGCCTGCAAGATATACTCGTTCGATTTGAGCTCGGGCCATAGCAGTCGACAAATTAACCTCAAGGTTCTGCATTTGAGGCCTCGAGAACTCATCCGCCCAAATTACGAGAAAAAAGCAAGGTTCACTCTCGCGTCTTGTAGAATGCTCTGCAGCTTGTTCAGTTCAAGCTTGGGCCATTACATAGTGATAGTACATAGTTTTGATTTTTTCTTCCGAACCGAGTAACCCCAAAGTTCAATCTATTCAAGGTAGCTTAGACTAGGAAATGCAGAAGGCCTGGTCACGGATGGTCCGCACCTACACTAAACGTGTGTGTTGGATCATAGTACTTTCTGCAGGAACGCTCGTTCAATTCGGGCTCGGGCCATTTGGGTAGTCCCATAACGTTTTTTCTACTATGTAACGAATCCCGGGCCAGCGAGGTTCGATTCGATGCACGGCGCACGTCGATTCAAACCCAGCTCACATACAACAGCAGTTCTGCCAGTCCTTTTTTTGGACGGGCGGTCTCAAAGCACGGTGGTATCGCTGATACAGGCGCAAAAGAACTAGTAGTATAAACTTCACCTCCCTCCTCGCAGTTCACGCGTCGCCAAAACAAACGCGTCCCTCGGAACGTGTTTGACCACGTGATCGTGTTCATCCCCATCGGGTCAAACGGCGATCTGCTTGCCGCCCCTGTCATAGGCGTACCGAGCAGAGGGCGTCGTTGCTGGTGGTTCCCGTCCTGAAGATGGCGCCGTAGCGGAGAGATCGTCCTGCGCTGCGGCACCTCCGACATCGGGGACGATCCCGCTTCGGCGTCATCGCCGTATACCATTGGTGCGTTGCCTTCTTCTTCGTGTGGTGTGTCGTTCAACGCCGCGCGGGCCGGGGGCGGGGGAGGGGTGGCGCCGTATATGGCGCGCGCGATCGAAGCGTTTGCGGAGTACGTGTTTCTCTTTCTTTCTCTTTCCGCCGCTGGCGTGACGACGTGGAGGTGGGGGAGGTGTTGGTGGGCATGGCGTTTGCGTTGACTCCCGCCGTCGTGTGTGTCAGGCGGCGGTGTGGGTGTGCGTATATTTGCGGGAGGCAGGCAGGGACGCAGAGGCCTAGTCCAGACGTGGGAGCGGAGGAACCTCGCGCTGGCGGGCGCTTTCGTGTCCGTACACGCTTCGACGTCGCTTTGTGACAGGGGGAAAGGCGGGAGGTCGACGCGGTTAAGGTATATCATGCGCGCGCGGCGCAAGCACAGGTAGCGTATCGCTGACACACTGCTTCAGGTCCCCGCTCGCAGTCGTGGGTGTGATGTGGATGGGGTCGGTGGGTGCGGATGACACTTGCGCGTGCGCGTCCGCGGATGATGCACTGCTGCGTATCTCTTTGCGAGATCCTTTCCTGCCTATTCTGCACGTCGACGCGCCGCTTGGAGGCGACGTGGATCTGGATCTACGCTGCATGCACTTCTTCCTGGCATTGGTTTTTCTCTCCATCGTGCATGAGCCGCTTGGCCTTCGCCCGACCTTCTCCCTCCGTCTCGACTTGGAGTGGGGACGTCGTCCTCATGTCGATGTCTTCTGTCATATTCGCGCGAGGGCCCCTCGATATGGGTCGTGTACTGCCGCTGCTCATGTGGACGGCGCGGACGACGCGGGGGACGCTGCCTTGTCTTTCGTCCATCCTCGTTTCTCTCCAGCCTCGTCTTCCTCCCTCTGTCTTGTCTGATCTTACCCGACGCTCGCTAACCCCGCTTACAGAACCCTCCACACCCTGCACCCGCTCCTCCAGTCCCTCACGCGCGTCGGGCTCTTCGCGCGCATCCTCCGCAGCGCCAAGATCCGCGACCAGCTGAATCAGGTCGGGGACGCGCTGACGCAGGCGCAGGATTTATTTTCGGTACGTTGCTCTCCCTTACCTTCCGCTTGCACCTGCGTGTCTCTCCCCCGTATCTCGTACCTCACCCCTTCCTATTCTTCTCTTCCCTTGCCCTCCTCCTCGCCCACTTCTCCTCCTTCGTACTCACCACGCACGCAGGTAAAGACCGGCCTCCTGACACACGCCGCGCTCGGTGGCGCCAAACGCGCCGCGGCGGAGCGGCATGCGGAGCTGTTGAGGGCGTTGGGGCGGGGGAGGGATGTGGAGACGGCGCCGGGTGCGGGTGCTGCGTAGAAGGAGGAGGAATCGGGGGGCGGGTGCGGAACGAGGTGGGAGAGATCAGGGGAAGGGGAAGGCGATGCGCGCCACGGATGCGGGAGGCAGTCGCGACAAGGGCAGGATAGACCCGGACAAAATCGCTGCCGTCCACGCATTGGGTAGCCTCCACGCCTGCCCCACGCGCTGCTCCCTCATCGACGCGCCACGATACCCGCCTCTCCCAAAAATCCGATCGCGGTCGCCATGCGCCAAGATAGGCTTTCACCCACGTTCCATCTGGCGACACCACCATCTCCTCCGCCCACCTGCTCTCCTGGCGCACCCTACCCGCCCGCGTGCACCGCAGCCTTCCCTCCTTCCTCCGTCGGTCGACCTCTACGTCGCTCCTTCCCCAGACGCATCGGGATATACACCAGCGGGATCGCAGCAGCATTGGGGCGATGGGCGAGATTGGTGACAAGAGTCCGCGAGGTCGAGATGAGGGTGATGGGCGCTAGATCCAGAGCGCATCTTCAAGAGCGAGATGCGCGCCAACCGCTCCGCCCGTCGGCCCCGCCGCCCTCCGCCGCACCAAAGATATAGACCCCACGACTAAGCAGCGTGGACGCGATACGCCGTCTGTGCCCGCTGTCGGCCGCATATGATACCTCGTCGACCTTCTCCCCTCCCTGCTCCTCCCACAACGCCGTCCGGCGAAGCTCGTGCAGCCACGACAGCGCCAGGACGCGGTTCCTGCGCATCCACGTCCACACTGCGAATGTGTACGCGGCATATGCTTGCGGCGTTCGCACGAATATACGGGGACATCAGAGTTGACGTCGCCTCATTTTTGACTCCCGGACCACACCCTCTGACATTCTATATCCGACCACATATGTGCGTCTGAATGCATAAACATCATATTCTTCGTCTCTCGGCTTCTTTTCTGCGTCCTCGTCTGGATACATACCGGTCTCGAGGTCGAAACGCTCGATGGGGTGGGCAAGGGACGCTGCTAGGGAGGGGCTGAGAGATATCGGCGAGATATTGGATGCGCGTGGAGGGGGAGATGTTGGAGTGAGCAACGCTTGAGGAAATGGGACCCCATTGACTCAAGGCGCAAGGCGATGCTCCTTATATTTGCGGG